TGCACAAAACCCATAAAAAGGGGAAAATTGTGATGGAAATAACCCCAAAAGAGCAGAAAAATTTGGGATGGAACAAACCCCAAAAAGAGGAGAAAATTGGGATGAAATAAACCCCAAAAAGAGGAGAAATTTGTGATGGGATAAACCCCAAAAGAGCAGAAAATTTGAATGGAAAAAACCCCAAACGAGGAGAAAAAATTGGGATGGAGAAAACCCCAAAAGCGGAGAAAACTGGGATGGAGAAACAATTGGGATTGAACAAACCCCAAAAAAAGGAGAAAATTGGGATGGAAAAAAACCCAAAAAAATGAGAAAATTGGGATGGAAAAAAAACCCAAAAAAGGAGAAAATTGGGATGGAAAAAACCCAAAAAAATTAGAAAATTGGGATGGAAAAAAACCCAAAAAATGGGAAAATTGGGGTGGAAAAAAAACAAAAAAAATTAGAAAATTGGGATGGAAAAAAACCCAAAAAATGAGAAAATTGGGATGGGAAAAAAAAACAAAAAAGGAGAAAATTGGGAGGGAAAAAAAAACCAAAAAAGGAGAAAATTGGGATGGAAAAAAAGGAGAAAATTGGGATGGAAAAAAACGCAAAAAAATGAGAAAATTGGGATGGAAAAAAAACCAAAAAATGAGAAAATTGGGATGGAAAAAAACCCAAAAAAAGGAGAAAATTGGGATGGAAAAAAAACCAAAAAAGGAGAAAATTGGGATTGAACAAACCCCAAAAAAGGAGAAAATTGGGATGGAAAAAACCCCAAAAAAAGGAGAAAATTGGGATGGAAAAAAACCCAAAAAAAGGAGAAAATTGGGATGGAAAAAAACCCAAAAAATGAGAAAATTGGGATGAAAAAAAAAAAACAAAAAATGAGAAAATTGGGATGGAAAAAACCAAAAAAATGAGAAAATTGGGATGGAAAAAAACCCAAAAAAAGGAGAAAATTGGGATGGAAAAAACCCCAAAAAAGGAGAAAATTGGGAGGGAAAAAAAACCAAAAAATGGGAAAATTGGGATGGAAAAAAACCCAAAAAATGGGAAAATTGGGATGGGAAAAAAAACAAAAAATGAGAAAATTGGGAGGGAAAAAAAACCAAAAAATGAGAAAATTGGGATGGAAAAAAACCCAAAAAAAGGAGAAAATTGGAATGGGAAAAAAAACAAAAAAAAAGGAGAAAATTGGGATGGAAAAAACCCAAAAAAATGAGAAAATTGGGATGGAAAAAACTCAAAAAAATGAGAAAATTGGGATGGAAAAAAAAAAACCAAAAAAAGGAGAAAATTGGGAGGGGAAAAAAACCCAGAGGGGCTGAGCTCAGTTTGGACCCATCCTGGCCACGGTCCCAGCTATTCCCACAATCCACAGGATGAAAATCCCATTATTTNAAAAGGAGTAGAAAATTCCCTTAAACTGCTGATAAATCTCCTTTTTTTCAGTTCCTCCTTCCCAGCCAGTGCTGGAAATCTCCCAGGATGAGGAAAGGGGCATCAAACTCTCCTGTCAGACTCACGGGGGCAGACCCCAGCCCCAAATTTCCTGGCTCTTGGACAACGGGATTGAGCTCCCAGGTGAGAGTTTAATTATATATTTTGAGTTAATTCATATATATATATATGTATTAAGAGTTTAATTATATATTTTGAGCACGAAAATTGGGATTTTTGTCGGTTTTGGGGTGGTTAAAGGTGCTGGAGGGGGGAATATCGGCTGGGTGTGTGGGGAACAGTCAGCATGAAATTCCACTGGGATGAAATAAAGGCAAAATCCTGGAATTTCAGCATGAAATTCCACTGGGATGAAACAAACCCAAAATCCCTGGAATTTCAGCATGAAATTCCACTGGGAGGAAATAAAGCCAAAATCCTGGAATTTCTGCATGAAATTCCACAGGGATAAAACCCAAAATTCTGGAATTTCAGCATTAAATTCCACTGGGATAAAACCCAAAATCCTGGAATTTCAGCACTGAATTCCACGGGGATAAAACAAACCCAAAATCCTGGAATTTCAGCATTGAATTGCACAGGGATAAATTGAACCCAAAATCCTGGAATTTTGGCATTGAATTCTACTGGGATAAAACCCAAAATAAATCCTGGAATTTCAGCATGAAATTCTACTGGGATAAAATAAACCTAAAATCCTGGAATTTCAGCGCTGGATTCCACTGGGATAAATTGAACCCAAAATTCTGGAATTTCAGCACAAAATTCCACTGGGATAAAACAAAGCCAAACCCCCTGGAATTTCAGCACAGAATTGCACTGGGATAAATCCCAAAATCCTGGGATTTCAGCATTGAATTCCACTGGGATAAAACAAAGCCAAAATCCTGGAATTTCAACACTGAATTGCACTGGGATAAATTGAACCCAAAATCCTGGAATTTCAGCATGAAACTTCCCATCCCCAGGAAATTCCCAGTTCATCCTGGGCTGCCCTTCAGAGAAGCCACTTTCACATTAAAAGATGAGAAACACAAATTTAATTGTTTGAAATCAAAAAATTCATTGCTTTAATTCACTATTTCTCCAATTTTTGTGGTTTTTTTCTCCATTTTATTTTATTTTATTTTATTTTATTTTATTTTATTTTATTTTATTTTATTTTATTTTATTTTATTTTATTTTATTTTATTTTATTTTATTTTATTTTATTTTATTTTATTTTATTTTATTTTATTTTATTTTATTTTATTTTCATTTTTTTTTTTTCTCCCTGCTTGCCTGCAGGCGACACCAGGCACCAGCTGGGGGCCGACGGGAGCCGATGGAGCAGCCGGAGCTCCCTGAGGCTCCTGAGCTACAGCCCCGCGGTGACAGCCAGCTGTGCCATCCGGCACCCTGCGCTGGGCACACGGGCCCTGCTGGCACCCCTGTCCTTCCGGAACCTTCCCAGGGCAGGTACTGCAGCTCTGCTCTCCCATTCACTGCCCTGAGGCGGTGAAAATGATACAGATACCCACAAGTGTGGGGTGGGCTTTAAAATGAGGAATTGGGGGCAAAAAATGAGGAATTGGGGGCACAGACACTGGTGGCATCTTTGCCCTTCCAGAACCTTCCCAGCTTGGGTACTGCAGCTCTGTCTCTCCAATTCACTGCCCTGAGCTGGTGAAAAAAAATACAGACATCCAGAAGTGAGGGGGTGCTTTAAAATGAGGAATCTGGGCCAAAAAAATGAGGAATCTGGGGCAAAAAATGAGGAATCAGGGACACAGAGACTGCTGGCATCCTTGTCCTTCCAGAACCTTCCCAGCGTGGGTATTGCAGCTCTGACTCTCCAATTCACTGCCCTGAGTTGGTGAAAAAAAATACAGACACCCAGAAAAATTTTAAAGCACCTTGAGGGGGTGCTTTAAAATGAGGAATCTGGGGCAAAAAATGAGGAATTGGGGGCACAGAGACTGGTGGCATCTTTCCCCTTCCAGAACCTTCCCAGCTCCGGTACTGCAGCTCTGCTCTCTGATTTCCTGCCCTGAGGTGGTGAAAATGATACAGATACCCACAAATGTGGGGGTGCTTTAAAATGAGGAATCTGGGGCAAAAAATGAGGAATTGGGGGCAAAAAAATGAGGAATTGGGGGCACAGAGATTGGTGGCATCTTTCACCTTCCAGAACCTTCCCAGCTCGGGTACTGCAGCTCTGCTCTCCGATTCACTGCCCTGAGCTGGTTAAAAAAAAATACAGACACGCAGAAGTGAGGGGGTGCTTTAAAATGAGGAATCTGGGGCAAAAAATGAGGAATCTGGGGCAAAAAATGAGGAATTGGGGGCAAAAAATGAGGAATCAGGGACACAGGGACTGGTGGCATCCTTGTCCTTCCAGAACCTTCCCAGCTCTGGTACTGCAGCTCTGCTCTCCCATTTCCTGCCCTGAGGTGGTGAAAATGATACAGATACCCACAAATGTGGGATGGGCTTTAAAATGAAGAATTAGGGGCAAAAAAATGAGGATTCGGGGGCAAAAAATGAGGAATCAGGGACACAGAGACTGGTGGCATCTTTCACCTTCCAGAACCTTCCCAGGGCAGGTACTGCAGCTCTGCTCTCTGATTTCCTGCCCTGAGTTGGTGAAAATTATATAGATACACCAGAAGTGAGGGGGTGCTTTAAAATGAGGAATCTGGGCCAAAAAAATGAGGAATTGGGGGCAAAAAAATGAGGAATTGGGGGCAAAAAATGAGGAATTGGGGGCACAGGGACTGGTGGCATCTTTGCCCTTCCAGAACCTTCCCAGCTCGGGTACTGCAGCTCTGCCTCTCCAATTCACTGCCCTGAGGTGGTGAAAATGATACAGATACCCACAGAAGTGTGTCTTTAAATGAAATGAGGAATTGGGGACAAAAAATGAGGAATCAGGGGCACAGACACTGGTGGCATCCTTGCCCTTCCAGAACCTTCCCAGCTCTGGTACTGCAGCTCTGCCTCTCTGATTTCCTGCCCTGAGCTGGTAAAAATGATACAGATACCCACAAGTGAGGGGTGGGCTTTAAAATGAGGAATTGGGGGCAAAAAATGAGGAATTGGGGGCACAGAGATTGGTGGCATCTTTCACTTTCCAGAACCTTCCCAGCTCGGGTACTGCAGCTCTGCCTCTCCAATTCACTGCCCTGAGGTGGTGAAAAAAAATACAGACACCCAGAAAAATTTTAAAGCACCTTGAGGGGGTGCTTTAAAATGAGGAATCTGGGGCAAAAAATGAGGAATCAGGGACACAGGGACTGGTGGCATCTTTCCCCTTCCAGAACCTTCCCAGCACGGGTACTGCAGCTCTGCTCTCCCATTTCCTGCCCTGAGCTGGTGAAAATGATAAAGACACACACAGAAATGTGTCTTTAAATAAAATTAGGAACTTGGGGTAAAAAAAAGGGGTTTGGGGTTGTTCATTGATGCCACAGCTGAGCAGCAGATCCTGCCCAAGCTCCCCAGGGCCAAGTGTTTCATTTATTCCTCATTTCAGAGCAGCAAGGGCAGGAAAGGGCAGGGAAAATATTCTGAGGGCAGGAAAGGTGAGGGTGGGACTGGAAGTGAGACCCTTGATCAGCCAGAAAACCAAATAAACAATACAGAGAATGGAACAAGGCAGAAAACCCAAACAATTCAGGGCATGGAGCAGGACAGAAAACCAAAATAATGCAGGGCAGAAAACCCAATTAAAAAAATCCAGAGTATGGAGCAGAGCAGAAAACTCAAGAAACAATACAGAGAATGGAGCAGGGCAGAAAATAAAAAAAATGCAGAGTATGGAGCAGGGCAGAAAACCCAAACAACGCAAGGCATGGAGCAGGGCAGGAAAACCAAATAATACAGAGCATGGAGAAAGGCAGAAAACCCAATAAACAATCCAGAGTATGAAGACAGAAAATCCAAATAATACAGAGCATAGAGCAGGGCAGAAAACCCAATAAAAATCCAGAGCAGGGTAGAAAACTCAAACGATGCAGAGCATGGAGCAGGGCAGGATGGTTTTTCAAGGATCTGCTCGGTGGCAAAGTCTCTTCTGATTTTTGTCATTATTTTTGGTGGGTTCTTCAGGCTGCAAACAGGCAACCCGACCTTCAGAGGATGCAGGAGTTCCCAGCTCATCAGAGAATCCAGCAGTTCCCAGTTCTCCAGAGAATCCAGCAGGTACCAACCCATCTGCATCCCCAGAAAATTCAGGAGTTTCCAGCCCTTCTTCATCCCCAAAAGAAGCAGGAGTTTCCAGCCCTTCTGCATCCCTAGAGAATCCAGAATTTTCCAGCCCTTCTGCATCCCTAGAGAATACAGAATTTTCCAGCAGCCCCTCTGCATCCCCAAATGATCCAGGAGTTTCCAGCCCCTCTGTATCCCCAGAGAATCCGGAATTTTCCAACTCCTCTGCATCCCCAAAAGATCCAAAAGTTTCCATCCCCTCTGCATCTCCAAATGATCCAGGAATTTCCAACCCTTCTGCATTCCCAGAGAATCCAGAAACTTCCACCCCTTCTGCATCCCCAAGGAATCAAAAATTTTCCAGCCCTTCTGCATCTCCAAAAGATCCAGAACTTTCCAGCCCTTTTGTATCCCCAAAAGATCCAGAACTTTCCAGCCCTTTTGTATCCCCAAAAGATCCAGAAGTTTCCAGCCCTTCTGCATCCCCAGAGAATTCGGAAACTTCCACCCCCTCTGCATCCCCAAGGAATCAAAAATTTTCCAGCCCTTCTGCATCCCCAGAGAACCCAGAATTTTCCATCCCCTCTGCATCCCCAAAAGATCCAGAACTCTCCAACCCTTCTGCATCCCCAGAGAATCCAGAACTCTCCAGCCCTTCTGCATTTCCAAATCATCCAGAAGTTTCCAACCCTTCTGCATCTCCAAATCATCCAGAACTTTCCAGCCCTTCTGCATCTCCAAATCATCCAGAAGTTTCCAACCCTTCTGCATCTCCAAATCATCCAGAACTCTCCAGCCCTTCTGCATCTCCAAAAGATCCAGAACTTTCCAGCCCTTCTGCATCTCCAAAAGATCCAGAACTTTCCAGCCCTTCTGCATCTCCAAAAGATCCAGAAGTTTCCATCCCTTCTGCATCTCCAGGGACTGCAGCAGGTCCGGCCCAGCCAAACCTCACGGATGTCTCGCTGCTCGGTGAGTTTGGTCTCAGCCAAACCTGAATTTCTCCAACCTGAAATGACAATGGCAGAGGTGCTGCCGGGCACAGCTTTCCATCCCACGTCCCACAGCGGTGTGGGACACAGGGCACAGCATTTCCTGCGTGTTCCTCCTTTTTCCCTGCCAAAATTCCCCTCCTCGGAGGAAAAAGGGCAGGAGCAGGGTGGGAGCTGGGCTGGGATGCTCTGATGGGCTGCACTAGGTGGCACTGTGCAACAATTCTTCATGGAATTCACAAAATCACAGAATTTACAGAATCACAGAATCACAAATTTGGAGGAAATCCTAAAGATCATCGAATCCAACCCAGCCCCAACCCCTCAACTAAACCCAGAGCCACATCCAGGCTTTGTTAAACACACCCAGGGATGGCGACTGCACCACCTCCCTGGGCAGAACATTCCAGAATTCATCACCCTTTCTGTAAAAACTTTATCACCTTTCTGGAAAAAACTTCATCACCCTTTCTGTAAAAAACTTTATCACCCTTTCTGTAAAAAACTTTATCACCCTTTCTGTAAAAACTTTATCACCTTTCTGGAAAAAACTTCATCACCCTTTCTTTAAAAAACTTTATCACCCTTTCTGTAAAAACTTTATCACCCTTTCTGTAAAAAACTTTTCCCAATCTCCTGCCTGTATTTCCCATGGTGCAGCTCGAGGCTGTGTGCTCGTGTTCTGCCGGTTCCTGCAGAAAGTGAGGAATTCATAAGAGGAAGATTTTAGAAAATCTTAAAGAATGGAATGGGGTGGCAGGGAGGAAATTCTGGGGAGCACAGCTGGAAAAATCAATTTGTGCTAGCAACCAGTGGAAGGGATGAAAAAGATCACTGGAAGGTTTTGGAAAGGAAAAAGCAGACATAACTAAAGGAAAGGAAAAGGAAATAGATATAAAAGGAAACATATAAATATTTCATTTTATATATAAATAATACAAATAAATAACATATTTTAAATGAAATATATTAAAGTAAAAAGAATACATAACTGCCAAAATCTCCTTGCTCCAATCAGATTTCCCCTGCAGGAAGGAAATGTGATTTTTCAGGAATGCATCACTGGGGTGAACAATTCCTGTTTGAATTCCCAGCACATTTACCAGCACAAACCTCTGTTACAGAGCAAAATCCCGAATCCAAGGGGCTCCTGAGGAAGGAGAAGAATGTCCTGCTGCCCGTGCTGGTGGCTGCTCTGCTCCTGGTGCTGCTCATCATTGTGCTGCTCTTCATGGTGAAGCTGAAGAAAGCGCACGGGGCGTGGAAGAGAGGTGAGAAACAGGAGCTGGGGGCTCGAGAGTGAGAAATTCCCATTTTCTGACCCTTCTCTCAGGATTTTNCCGCAGAGGTGCGATGTCCCCACGCTGCCGGCGGTGACAGGAAACCATCACGGGGACAGAAATACCCGAGGGGGCTGCGAGAAACCGCGCGGAGCCGCAGCTGCCTCCGAACAACTCTCACCTCCTGCCCAGCCCCTCCGACAGCCGCGATCCCCACGGGGAACCGTCCTACAGGGAGGTAACGCTGATTCTGCAGGCACAAAAATCGAAATTTTTGTACCTCCAGAACCAGCTTTGGATTACAGAAGCAAAATCCCAGACTAAAAAAAAAACCACCTAATTTCTGAGCGATTTAAAATTGTTAAGAATGTGAAAAAATCTTCCCCAAAGCCCCGAAAAGATTCATTTCCCCAAACGGCAGTGGGAACTGGCAGCCGAGAGCCACGTGGAAAATCAAATCAAAACGCGCAAAACAGGAATGAAAACAAAACTCTGCCGCTGCCCATTTACCCAGCTCCAAGGCAGCGATGTTGGAATTCTCCAGGGTATTTTTGTCCGGAGAAGGCAAAATTCATTCGAATTGTCATCAAATATTCTCACAAAGTGTTTAATCTGGGTTAGAATGGCTGGAGAGAAAAAGCACATTTTACTGCCAGCCTGTAAATGAGCTGGGAGAAGAGAGAGTGAAAGTTCATAATTTCATTTTAGTCACCTCTGCCAGGCCAAGTTTGGGGTTTTTTTTCAAAAGAAGTTTCATTTCTGAATAAAAAAGTCTCATTTTTAGAGGTGTTGGGAAATCATTCACTGAGCAAATAAGACACAAAATCAGAGAATGGTTTGGGTTGGAAGAGACCTTAAATATTATTTAGTTATAATCATGAAATAAGTGAAAATTGAATGTCTGTGTTTAAATACAGTGCATGAAATGGGTCTGCTTCAGCTGTGTATTGGCTAACAATGAAATACTTTCTTGGCTAATGACTAAAATTGGTTTAATAATTATTTTGGTGGTGATGGCAGGCGGAGACCCCAAACCTTTGTCACGCAGATGATCTGCCCAATGACAATAATTTATTTATATCCCTACAACCATACTGGCAACGTAGAAATATTTTCAAAAACCACTGCAGAAAAAGGAAAATTAACACATCACTGTGCAAAACATCCCTGCTTTGCTCCATGTCACAATTTCCAGGTTGTTTTTCCCCCCGGTGCGTGGCAGGGGCGTTTGCAGGGGCTGCCGGTGACGCTGTGGCTCTGAAGGAAGGAGAAAATCTCGACCTGAACTGCACCTTCAGCACCCTCAGCAACCACAACTTCACCCTGCAGTGGCTGAACCCGCGGAATTTCACCATTTTCCTCAACGCCCAGCAGGGTGAGTGTGAAATCAGAGCGGTGGCATTGCCCCAGCGCTGGGGACACTGAGCTGGCCCTGCTGCCACGGCTGGGTCCTTTGTGGTCACCAGAAATTGGTGCCTCTTGGGGCTACCTAAAAACAGAGGCCAGACAAAACTGAAATAATAAAAATCACTGTTTTTCTGTTTATTGAGGGGCCTTGCTGTTTACTGAAGGGCTTTTCTGTTTATTGAAGGGCCTTCAGGTACATTTAGGCCACACAAAACCCACCCAAAAATGGACTCACAGGTTTCACACTTTTATAAGTTTGGTCCATTTGCA